CCCCCCCCTCCCAGGCCCATCTATTTCTGGATGGAGGATGTGAACCTGTCTTTGCTCGCTACCTCCTGGCCATCCTAGAAGGGACAGGCCTAACCATTGGCTTCTTGGGGAGTGGAGAGTTCTCACCTTCTTGTTTTCCTTCCTCTCTGCCCCATTCTGGAGGATCAAAACATCCTGGGACTGGGCTGAGAAGCGTTGGGGCTGGTGTATGTAACTGAAAGGAGGGAGAGAACTGCAATTCCCACAAGGCACTGCTCCATCCAGCATGGGCACCACAGAGCTGTATCCTGTTTGGCATCTTGATGGTGAAGCCCCTCCTGGTTGGGCTTGGATGTCGGTGGAGAGTGAAGCAACAAAGGGAAGGGAAGAATCCTCTGAATGAAATTTACGGAGCAAAAAACTACTGTAAATAACTTTTTGGGTTTTCTTGTCAAATAAAGGTGTTTTTAAAAAAAAAACCCAACAATGGGCATGCTGTGACTTGTTTTCTAGGTTTCTAGCTGCTTATTAAATCCAGTATTTATAAATCCGGGTTAGGGGTAGGCCAGGTGATCCAAAACCTCATGCTGAACTGCTGCAACTTTAACACGCAGGATGCAGTGTAAAAATGCAGCTCAGATCTGAAAAGTGACCAAATAAAATGGGCATCAGTCCATATTCTCTCCCTTCCATATTGCATGTCCTGAATTTGCACCATTCTAACAGCCAGGCCTGCATGCTCCTGCGGGGAGGTGAGCTGGCTTCTTTCCTGGCCTCGTTGCCGTGGTTGGAAAGGATCTGGCAGTGGGCCAGTCTTGCTCCTGGTAGAAACCTGTTGCCTCCATTGCTGAAGCAGGAGCTGTAGTGATTAGCTCGTTCGCCTGTGGCTGTGTCGGTTCTGATAGTTAAAGCTGGCAGACCCCCAGGCTCCTGGCAGCTGGGAGTAAGAGGGTTTTATTGTTTGTCTCTCTGCTGTGGCGCTGAATGAAGCTACTGGGGGCCAGGAAAAGGGCCTATTGCAAGCTGAACCGGTGAGTCACTGACAATATCATTATCCAACTTCCTGCAATCCCAGCTGCAGAGGGGGAAGCCTTAGGGTGACCAGATGTCCTGATTTTATAGGGACAATCCTGTATTTGGGGCTCTTTTTTTTTATGGTCATCTATCTCCCTCCTCTCCTCCCCACCCACCTCCTGTCCTGATTTTTCACACTTGCTATCTGGTCACCCTAGGAAGCCCCCAGAGTGCAACCCCAGTAGCCTACCAGGTCCCAGCCCTAGAGCTCCTGGGGCAGAGAGGAGAAACAGGCAGTGAGGGCATGCAAAGAGCTGCCCTTTCCCATTCTGCTGGGCAACAGTCCCAGGTCCCCTTTTGCCTTAGAACGCTGCCCACTAGGCCCAGCATAGGGAAGCAGGGCCAGCGCTGCTGCTGGAAGATGCCATCTTGGTCCCATAGGGATTGGACCTGAATGTGGCTGAGATGTAGCTTCAACCCCTATGCTGCAGAAATGCAGCACTGCAGCCTCCCATTGAGACAAAAGGGAAACGGCAACAACCTTGGATGGGTTGGTTTCTCTTTTGTCTATTTCCCCCTTTCTGGGTGGATGAAGGGGGTTTCCCTTGGCTTTCAATTACCTGGAACTGACTGATGCCTGGGACAAGGGCAACTGGCTTATAAATACACACCTCCACTGCAGGTGGGAGCTCCAAACTGGCTAATCTGCCTAGGGGCTTATAGTGAATGTGCACTATGCTGCCTGATTCATCACTTGAACTGCTGCAGAGTGATGTAATTGCTGGTTATGGACCCTTAGCTAAGGCCATATACCACACACAGCTCAGGAGGGCTGAACCTGCCCTCTGGCCTGGTCAAGACAAAAATGAATGACTTCCCTCTTTCCCCAGGCAAGGGCATAAAACACAGAGGGGCCCAACTGCCTCGGTTCCTTCACCAGGGCAGAGTCCCAAAGCCATCAGCCTGCACAGGAGTAGGGAGGGTAAGCAGGGCATGGGATCCAAGTAGACAAACTACCTGGCTGAGCAAACACTGTAGAGTAACTGGCTGTTCGCTCTGGGTGCCTAACAAGCTATCCGCTCTCTGCTTGGAAG